ATTCTTTCCCCATTTTTTGTTGGATGCCTTTACTTGTCCGACTTGTGCTTCAAGCTAGGTAAAATACAAGCTAGAATCCAGAAACCTATACATGTTGCATATTAAAATAATAATATTTATTATGAGGATCACACGCATATAAAGAAGAATGAATAAGGATATGGAGATAAAACCGTGAAATGAGGATCCTAGGCATCCATGCCTTATTGGTAAAATTTACAAATTCACTAATACGGTCCTTCTAACGTGTGAAGTGTGTCTTGGTCTGGTAGTGATTTATATAAAAAGTCTGTCTAAGAAGTACTAAACTCGTAAATGAGGAACTTACCTAATACGTAGTAAAGTTTGAGCTCTGTTTTCTATGAATGATATGCCTTACTATTATTGTATTTGGGATATTTTTTTTCATACTTACAGGTATCTTACAATAGGAATCCCTCATTTTCAGTATAAAATGAAAGAAACTAAATGCAAAATATGATGTTCTCTAATGAGACATTTTGTGTGTAATTTGCCAAATCCTTCATTTCAATCTTCATGTTCTAATCCTTGTGTTATCCCCACTTTGGTGGTTATGGAATACAACAACTATTTGGTGGTTATCCCCAGTTTCCAGATTAATATTCTGCTTTGCAGGTTACCGAGTTGAAGAGGAAATGGCACAGGCTGAACAAGGTTTGACTAATGTCTAATATAGCCCAAACAGCTCTGGGCTAATAATATAGCCCAAATTTTTTTCGGATTTTCGGATAATCTGAAACCAGATTTTGCTCGATCCGTATCCGATCCGAAAATTCGAAAAAAAAATTTGGATACCCGATCCGAACTATCCGAAAATTGAAAAACGAATCGAATATCCGAATTTTCGGATCGAATCAGTAGAATTGGGTTTTTTTACACACCCCTACTTTTAAGGCTAACACTTGATTTTCTACTTCAGTTTTTTCATGGATATCCTTGGCAAGTTTTGGTTATTCGAATGATTTGTAGGGTCCCCCCCCCCCCCCACACACCCAAAAAAAAAAAACAACCACCACCACCCTCATGTGAAGCTCCTTTATTTCTCAGTGAACTAGTCTATGCAGGAACATATGCTTTTTAAACTTGTCGGCGAATTGTTTCCTTATTTATTAACAAGTTTATCAGGTTCTGGAAACACAATGTTCTAGATTTTGTGTGCTTTTCATGTTTATTTTCTGACTTTTTCCCCCAAATGTGCAAATGGAACTCTGTTGTGGTGTTGCCATTTTTCTTGGTTTTTAAATACTTGCTTGCATCCTTGTTGGGCAGGAGAGACAAAGTGTCATATATGATGAACAGAAGAATTTAACTCAGCATCAAGCCCAAACGAAGTCACAGATGGCTCGATATGAGGATGAGTTGGCAAGGAAGAGGATGCAGGCATGTCGTATTGGCCCTTTCTCAATCACGAAATTGTTACCATGTATTAACATTTATGGAAAATAGTATAAATGTTTTATGTTACTGTAGGCAGAAAATGAATACCAAAGATAGAGAAATCAAGAACTACTAAAACTGCAGGAGGAATCAGCAATTAGACAGGAGCAAGCTCGACAAGCTACAGAAGAACAAATTCAGGCACAGCGGCGACAAACAGAGAGGGAAAAAGCTGGTATTGAAAGCGAAACTATCCGAGTGAGAGCTATGGCTGAAGCAGAAGGAAGAGCCCATGAAGCAAAACTTGCTGAAGAAGTTAATAGGCGCATTGCTCATAGATCGTGCAAATGCGGAAAGAGAGAAATGGGTTGCTGCAATAAATATTAATTTTGACCATATTGGAGGTATCAATCCAATTACATGCACTCAATCATTGTAGAAAGCTTTAAATAGCTAGATTCAGAATATGGCATTCTCATTTTAATATTTTGTCAAAAGAGCTGTAACTTCAAAAGATAGTCCATCTGTTATGGAGGGAAAAGGAGGCAGGTGCCATTTTCTCTGTCTTCCTAGTTTCTGTATGATCTAGACCTAGTAAATAAAAATAGTGGCACTAATCGACCTGTTGCTTCTATGTTTAGGGTGGTTGTAATAACTACAATCAGATTATTTATTTCTTTATTAAATAATTTATTCTTCTACTGGCCTGACAAAGAATTTCTGCTGAATTTTGACTTTTTAATGTTGTTTAAGTCCCATTTGTTAATCTTTTATTGGTTAATGTGTGGCTTAATGTGGAACATGCTTGTTCTTTCTAGGTGGCTTGCGAGCCATTTTGACAGATCAAAACAAGCTGGTTATGGCTGTTGGGGGGGACGACTGCTCTTGCTGCAGGATTGTACACCACCAGGTAAATGATGGATTTTGTTTGAAAATTTGTAGTTTCCCTGACTTCTAATATATACATATGACTAAGTTAGAATCAACTGGTGTGCGAGTGTCATTCTATTTTTTTATCAGAATTTGGCACTGCTGTATTTGTCACAATTCTGAGGGTAGTTTCTTATGCATTTGACACCTCTCTGAGACAGAGAAGGTGCAAGGGTGATTTGGGGCTATGTGGATAGAATACTAGGAGAACCAACACTTATCAGAGAATCTTCCAGAGGAAAGTATCCTTGGTCCAACATGTTTACACGGTCTATGAGCACTCTATCTCGCAGTGGCAATAAGGTATCACCTTCAAAAACTAGAAGTGGCTTTGGTAATGTGATTCTACTTCCTTCTTTTCAAAAAAGAATTCAGCAGCTTGCTGTTGCAACTGCCAATACAAAAGCCCACTAAGCACCATTTAGGAACATGCTTTTCTATGGCCCTCCAGGAACAGGAAAAACGATGGCTGCAAGAGAACTGGCTACTAAATCTGTATGAGCTCTTATACCTTTGTTTTTCCATTTATTGCTAGCAACTTATATACCTTCTGCTTTGCAGAAGTTCGTTTCTTCATTAAACAAGAATGCTAAATTTTATCTGAGGAAATGCATACTTCGGTTATTTGAATATATTTTAGATTCTGTTTGGTCAGAATGTTAAGAGTTTGGGTGTATATTCCATTGTATGGACAATCATGCAAGCACTGAAACTTGTCAACAGTTGATTTTGAACTTGTAAGCATCTATGCGTAATTATGGAAATGAAAGATGGGGAGTTTTTTTTTAATATATCTCGGACAATGCCTTATTTGTTGGTTTTGTATGCTTGAATGCTGCATTACTATAATTCATGACAAATGTTTGAAATCTGTTTCTTTTTTATTTATTTCATTTCATTCTCTTATACTTTTGTATTAATCTTCAAGGGTTAGATTATGCATTGATGACGGGTGGAGATGTTTCATTTGGAGCACAGGCGGTTACCAAGATACACCAGTTATTTGACTGGGCAAAGAAGTCCAAGAGGGGCTTGTTGCTGTTCATTGATGAAGCGGATGCGTTTTTGTGCGAGTAAGTGAAACCATTTAGTTTCTAGTGGTGAATGATTTTATAGTTGGACAAATATATACATGTAGGATTTTGATCAGGATGTTATGTTGTGTATATTTTTACCTTTCCTTTTGTTGACCAGGCATCAGTAACTTGTAGATTTGTTTTCTCACGTCTAACCATGATATCTCAAGGAGCTTAAGTTTGCGTATAACCCGCTAATTTCTTTTGCATGATAGAAAAATAAACGATTTATTCTAAACAGTCATCCTTTACAGGAATTAGTCTGTTAACAATTTCCAGAATTAGAATTGTTATGATTGATTATTTGGAAGGCCTAGCTTTGAATGTTGATTTTATGAGGCTCAACTCTTTTCCAGATGGAATAAAACCTACATGCGCGAAGCTCAAAGAAGTGCACTCAATGCCCTTCTTTTCCGCACAGGTGATCAGTCCAAGGACATAGTCCTTGCTCTTGCTACAAATCGTCCTGGTGATCTCGATTCAGCTGTGGCTGATCGTATTGATGAAGTATTGGAATTCCCTTTGCCTGGGGAAGACGAACGCTTCAAACTAGTAAAGCTCTATCTAGACAAGTACATAGCTCAGGCTGGCTCGAGAAAACCTGGTGTGCTTCAGAATATCATCAAAAAGCAGCACAGCAGCAGAAGATCGATATCAAGGGACTGACTGATGATATCTTAAGAGAAGCTGCAGCTAAAACCGAAGGATTTTCCGGAAGGGAAATAGCCAAACTGATGGCTAGTGTTCAAGCGGCTGTTTATGGAAGTGAGCATTCTGTGCTTGACCCAACCCTATATTCGTGAAGTGGTGGATTATAAGGTTGCGGAACACCAACAAAAAAGAAAACTGGCTGCTGCTGCTGCTGCAGGAGGTCAGGTTTGATTTATTTTCGAGTTCCGTTTGTTGAATTCGCATTGAGGTGGAAAATTTTGGCCATAACTGTTGGTTCAACTGATTAAATGGCCCCATTTTTTGAGTTTAGGGTATAACGTTGTCTTTAATCTCTTTATTCGAAGAAGGTTGGTACTTCTAAAACAATAACAAAATCCTATTCTCATATGCAATAGGATAAGGGGAAGGTAAGGTAATAGACTGCTCTTAATGCCAGGTTGAGAACAACTTTCATAGAAGACATCCGACAGTCAAAAAATTAAAAATAAAGATAAAATTCAATTCATGTATAAATAAATAAATAACTACATAGTTGAACAGATATTAACTCGAGGCAAATAAGAAAATAAATTCAATACAAGAATGGGAGAACTCAGTTTATTTTCTCGTGTCAAAAAATTGCCTATCTAGAAAATATCGTAGAGATTTTTCCAATTAAAAACTGAAAATAATTGCAAGCTACGTAAAATTTAGATTTCATAATCTTATATATTTTAATCGTAGTTTCATGTTACTGAAAATTAGATGTAACTGTCGGATATGTGTACTTGACACATATGCATCTCCCATGATAGGAGATAAGAAAATTACTCAAGCTGGGAAATTAAAGATATTGTCATAGTTATACAAATGGAAAATTAGACTATATGGGCTCCAATTTACTTTGGAAATATCTTCTCAAATGACAACTTCAAACACTTATTATGTGAAAAAGAAGGGGGGGGGCATTACATTAAAATGGGTTCAACGAATTTGTTACCAACAGCTTTAACAGAGAAGCACACAAATGCTGCAAAATAACAAATATCCCAACAGCCTGAGAAAGACATAACAGCAGTTCTAGTGATGATGCTTCTGAACGTAGCTCAGGTCAAAATACATGCATACAGCGGGCTCTTTCAAGTCAAGGCATATGAATTCAATTGGGTGTCCCAATGCAGGATTGTCTAAAACCAACAAACCCCAGGGTAACTTTTGTATCAGCAAAAATATTCGTGCAACTTATGTACAGATCTCAACCAATTTGCTCATTTTTTATAAATAAGTATGATTTTAGGTTACTGTGACAGTACTTAATTTATCTACTAATCAGCTTGTTAACGAAAAGTGAAGGAAAATCAAGGGTAAGGACTAATCTCCTTCACAAGCAACAATCCGGCCTTCAACTTTGATTGGAGGGACTTCATTGATTATCTCCATAGGAGATTTCTTGCTTGTATCCTGCAAATTTGGGGTAAAAATGCTTAAATTCTTCATTTCATTGCCCTCGTATTTCAGGAGGCAAAGGCCAATAACTTAATGATCACGCTTTTTACAAGGCACATACTGTGTTATTGGACTTGACTTTACCCTAACGTACATCAATTTTCTTAGGCACTTGTAATATGAGGTAACCATGTTGAGACTTGAGAGTTGAGACAAACATATGCTAACACCATATTCCCATGTCTATGTAACAAGGCATTCATGCACAGGGATAAAGAAACAAGCAGTATAATCAAGGCTGCTCAATAATAGAAATCCTTCTCCAAAATCAATGGATAAAGTCAGTGGGAAACAAAGACCACATATGTAAAACTAGAAAACATCTGCAAAGCATTCTACTTTGTTTGTAAACATGTTATGGACGTTTAAAGGCCGTTTCACGTTATTATATTGTTTCAAGCGTTGATATTCAGCCAACATCTTCAATAATTCAGATCACCAAAAAAACACTATTAGAACACTTGACAAACAACTGCAGGTAGACTGGAAAAAATTGAAAATTTTCAATTAAATTAGGGTTCCAAACCTTCAATATACTCAATTTACAGAATTAAGCACCAAAAACAATGAAAATATAAGGACCAAATAACAAGAGAGACAATAATTTCCATATTTTAGTAAAACATAAAGAAAAAGGGTGGAAAACTTATTTGTTCTTTACGGATAACTGAAATTTAAGCTTGTTATCAGAAATCGACGAAATAGAACACATTATCAAGTAGAGAACCTAATAACTGAATTCAGATTCCACAAGAACGTTAAAAAACAGAAAGAAACACCAACCGATGTTATTCTGATAATCATTTCTTTATACTAATTTCAAGGAAAATCTATAACGGACCTGAAAGATAACATCAACATTCCACAAAATTTTGAGCAGAAAACGAAACGAAAAAGGTGAAAAATATGAGATTAGGTACCTGCATCCATTTCGCAGTGTGATTTCTAATTTGGGTACTAACATACTGAAATTACGAGTCGTAGATCCCAAAGACCCAAACACGATGATCTGATTAGGGTTTTCAGAACACCCGAATATGCCATTTTTATCCTTAAGAAAAAAGACCTCTTTTCCTCGGTGATTGAATTCGAAGCCCGGACGAGCGAGATTCGATGGTTATTAGTTAAAGAGCCTTCACGCGAAGATTATTGGGCTCAGTCTTTGTGGATTGATGCTTGGTCCGTGTTCAACAACTAAAAGGTGAAGCATAGATCACTGAATTATTCAAAAATGATCTCGGTCACTAAATTTATAAAATAAATATTTAAATAAAATAATCACTTAGATATTATATTAATTATAAAATTTTGATAAATTTAACATTTTCTAAATAATTTTATAAATTTTATTGATCATTTTGTAAAATTTGATAAAATTTAGTAATTATTTAATAAAATAGATAAATTTAATGATTAATTTATAATTTTTTAAAATTTAAAAATTAAAATAAATATTTAAGTATTATTTATTTTTTAATATATTTTATTTAATAATAAAATAAAAAACAAAGCCCGATTATTATTTCCCAATTTCAAAAGATATTTATATGCAAGATATAATAAATATTTGATAAAAGTTTAAATTTAAGTTTAATTAATGAAGTGATAATAAATGTAAGTATATTAAATTTGTATTTAATATTTTTATTTATTTTATAATATTAAGTATTTTTTAAAATATTTTAATTATTCGTAATAGATTGACTTTTAATAAAAAAATTAACCTCCATTCTCTATTTAAAAAAAATACTTTTGAGATTAGATACAATGCAGAATATGTAGCTTTTTAGTCCTGAAATAAATTTTAAAATTAATTTAAAAAGTGCTTTTTGAAAAATTAACAAACTTATTTTTAGAAACATTTTAAATAAAATTAGTCATAAAAATAAACTATTTGTATGCTATTACCTAAAAATAATTTTTCACAGAGACGTTCAATTTTAAATAAAATAAACGTTTCAAATTATTTTCAAAAATAATTTACAGCAAAAGTATGGTCAAATTGTCAGAAACTTTACGTATTGTGGGGTTATAAGTTAACATCACTTGATAAAGGACTAAACATTCATTGTCCGCCAAGCATTTGAATTGCAACTGACGAGAATGACCTCACCATTTTCCACATAAACAAACAAAAATGCTTATGTATGCTCTTAGATCATCACCAAGTCCAATTATACTTAAGCTTTCCTTTTTCACATAAAATAAATAAAAATAATAATTGGAATTCAAAAAGAATATAAATACATGTACATGTTAAAATTTATATAATTACTAAATTAAAATTATAACTGCTAACACCAGGCTAAGCTCATAGTTTAGTTTTGAACAGTTTCCATGGCTAGTGCATTGGAGCAGCAGCTTCACTTTGTTGTGTTTCCCTTCATGGCTCAAGGCCATATGACCCCCATGATCGACATAGCTAGATTGCTGGCCAAGCGAGGCGTCGTCATAACCATCGTCACAACGCCTCGCAACGCCGATAGATTCCGAGTAATCCTCGATCGTGCCGTGGAATCGGGGCTCTCGATCCGTCTAGTCGAATTCTCGTTTCCGTGTGCCGAATTCGGATTGCCGGAAGGGTGCGAGAGCTTCGACATGCTGCCTTCCTTCAGCTTAGCCTTGAATTTCTTCCAAGCAGCCAACACGCTAGAAAAGCCCGTCCAAAAACTGTTCCATGAGCTAACCCCACCACCCAGCTGCATCGTATCCGATGCCTTGTTCACTTACACACACGGCCTCGCCAACCAATTTCGGGTGCCGAGGATTGTGTTCCATGGAGTATGTTGCTTTCTCCTTCATTGTCTCCATTGTTTACGCGTCTCCAACGTTCTCGATCGCGTAAACTCGGAGACAGAGTACTTCGTTCTGCCTAACATCCCCGACAAAGTTGAATTCACTAAATTACAGCTCCCACAATTCATGTATGAAAACCTCAAGGAATTTTCCGAGGAAAGGAAGAAGGTGGATCAAGACGCGTACGGCGTCATCGTCAACACTTTCGAAGAGATGGAGCCTGCATACGTTAATGAATTCAAGAAGACAAGGGGGGACAAAGTATGGTGCATCGGTCCGGTTTCTCTATGTAACAAGGATGTCATTGATAAAGCTCATAGAGGCAACAAGGGCTCGGTTGATGAACAACAACGCTTGTTAAGATGGCTTGATTCCCAAGAAACATGTAGTGTCATCTATGCTTGTTTGGGAAGCCTATCGAATGTGATACCTTCGCAATCAATCGAACTCGGTTTAGGCTTAGAGGCATCAAATAAACCGTTTATTTGGGTCATAAGAGGAAGTGATGCATCAAATGAAGTAGAGAGATGGATTTCGGTGAACGGTTTTGAGGAAAGAACGAAAGGAAGAGGCCTAGTGGTCCGGGGTTGGGCGCCGCAAGTTCTAATACTGTCGCATCCGGCTATCGGAGGGTTCTTAACACATTGCGGTTGGAACTCGACGATCGAAGGCATCTCGGCCGGGGTGCCTTTGATAACTTGGCCGCTATTCGCGGACCAATTTGCTAATGAGAAACTGGCTGTGCAAATACTTGGAATCGGAGTGAGGGTGGGAGTGGAGGAGCCAATGAGGTGGGCAGAGGAAGAGAAGATTGGAGTTTTAGTGAAGAAAGAAGATGTTAAAGAAGCTATTGAGAAGCTAATGGATGAAGACGAGAGAAGAAAGAGAGCCAAGAAACTTGGAGAAATGGCAAAGAAAGCTGTGAAGATAGGGGGATCTTCTCACCTTAACATTACACGGTTAATCCAAGATATAAGGCAAAGAGTTGTGAAGCAAACTAGCACTTCATGTTCATTTTTGTTGAATCTTATTCTGATATAAGAAAGAAAGAGATATTTTTATTCTATAACCAATAAAATCTCAATGTATTTATCATAATTTCTTTTATATCAAATTACAATTTTCTTTAAATAAAATTAAATGATAAATGAAAATTTAACTTTAATTAATTGTTGGATTGATTAAAATATAGTAAGGATTAAAAATTTTAAATAGCATCATAAGCTAATAGGGTGACGTGGTGTGGTTGGTTATCTCGTCAGTCTAACACACTGAAGGTCTCCGGTTCGAATCCGGGCGACATCCGATATGTATTGTTTTGCAACTTTTTCTTTTCTAAAAAATAAATAATGCCGTTGCCGTGGACCGAGCCCAGATCACTAGCGTAACTGGCAAGAGTACTCACCACTGTACTACAACGACTGGTTGATATAAGGTTTATAATTGTTTCTAAGAATATATTAATACGTACAGGATAATCCGCGCACGATAAAAAGTTGAGAAAATTTAAATTAGAAATAATCTAATTTGAAGCCTTACCGCCTCTAGGTTCTACACAGATGTTTTGCTGAGATTGAGTACTAGACTTCAATTCTTTTTATGTAAAAAAAAATATTTTAATAATTCTCTATTTGTGCCACTTATAAGTATATATTTTTATTTTATAATAATTAGTGTATAGAATAAGCAAAATAATGGTTTTATTTGACATTGTTGAAGAAAACTTCTATCTGATAAAACTGATAGATGTTAAGTCTTTATCAACATATTGAACATGAAAATTGAGAACAATTTATGTTTGGTGAGAACCATTCAAAACTTTTAGTTAACATCTCTTACATATTCAGAGGGGGGAACAAATTCGCAGATAGTTAGCCACAAGAACTCATCCACGGTTGAATACCATCTGATATCCATGGGCACCTCTCGGTTGATGCCCTCATAATAATCTTTTTAGGCATTTGTTCATATCATCAAAAGTTTCGCCTCACTATATATCAACCATTTCACACTAATGGAATCAAATAATAAATTTCAAAGGTTTAAGATTTAAACTTACAAAAGAATAAAAATAAAATAAATAATAAGATTGAAAATGTAATTATTCTAAAATAAAAAATAATATTATTTTGATCTTTTACAGAATACATGATTTAGGAGATTATGGCAAGTTTTGGGTAGATGTTGTTTATCTTTTTTTCATTACAAAATCAATAACAACATTATATTAGACAAAGAAACACAATATGATGTTTATAATTCAGCAAATTCAACTGTTTTCTTGCCGTCATGTGCTTTACGAAAGAAATATTTGACGTAATCTGAATAAAGAATTTGTTTGTAAATTGGTTTCTCACCACTTGCAATTAATTCAGGTAATGGTCCTATCATATCAGCAGGTCTTGGATTCACAAAAATGGGAATTGAAATCCTGTTTTTATTTCCGTTAGCGACCACACGATGTTCAACACTCCTATACCTTCCGTTGCTCATTATTTGCAAGGCATCTCCAACATTGATCACTAGGGAACCTTTAATTGGAGGAACATGGTTCCAATTATCTCCGTCGTTTTCCCTTACAAAAAGTCCCCCGATCTCATCTTGAAGGAGAATTGTGAGGGTAGAGACATCAGAGTGACGACCTACTCCAACAGTAAGTTCAGGATTTGGACATTTAGGATAGTAATTAAGGTTAGTCCTCATTGAACCCATCAACAATGATTCTTTTTTCTCATCAATCTCATTGACATTTAAACCCTTCATTAGAACTTGCAATAGTTGTTTGATAACAACTTCCGACTTCTTCATGTAATCTAACACTTGTTCCCTATAAATTTATCACAATAAATTTATCACAAAAGGTTGGTTAATATTTGTTTGACAAATATGGTGAATGTTATAAAATTTAATGATTCAAGAAAATTCACCAAGTATTTTTTTTTACCTGCAGACTGAAGGCCATAATGCAGAAGTCTCTTCTCCAGATACATAAAATAGACTAAGATAATCTTTCCATTCAAGAGCCTTTTCTGCTTGAGGAGTAAAACTTGTGCCAAACCTCACATTGTTTGAAGAAGAATGGTCCTTGGAATACTTGTTTTTGACCTCAGCTGGCAGCCTAAAGAACCTATAAGTGGCATCCTTGACATTGTCCAACACATGAACGGGGACATCATGGTTAACAACTTGGAAGAAACCCCATTTGGAAGCAGCATCGCATATGGATTTGGCCACCTTGGGGTCTTCCCAATTGGACATATCTATGATGGGAATGGATTCTTGGGGTGCGACATTGGACATGCAGGTCCTCTCTTCCAGAGGTTGAATATATTGCTTAGGGAGAGCTTTGAGATCCAATTCGGACAAACCCTTCACTCCATTCCCTTCGTTGATAACAAACTCACGGAGAGCCGAAGAGTCACTGAAAGGATCGGCAAGTGCAGGGGCCATTGGTTTGAGTAAATTGCGAGTGGAAAAGAGCGAGGTGGTGTTTGAGGAAGATGATATGTAGAGTGTTAGAAGAGAAGGCAGTTGTGCTTCTTGGTTTCAATGGAGAGGATCTTTATATAGAGAAATTTGGAGGTGGTGGTAAAAGAAATTGGTCTTAATTTGAATTCTCACCAACCCAACCCAACTATGCCGCACGCTGCACGCAGTTACCGCCACAAAACCTAATTCGGGCATCAAAATATTTGCAATAATCACCTCAAACAGTACGCCCAAGATGGTTGGCTGAACTCCACCGTTGACATCAAAGTCATATACTACTGTACAGTTTATTTAATATTTTATATGACTCCACCGTCAACTCAGAGTGGTCTATTCTATTCGTAAGTTTAAGGTTTGGACATATGAGATAATAATCAAGTTTAGCCCTTATTGAATCCATCAATTTTGATTCATTAATTTCGAAAACATTTAGATCATTTATTAACGTTTGTAATTTATTTATTTCTAATAAAAACATGTTTTAATTTGTTATCATAATTGTATGTTTTTTAATTTTTTAATATTGTACCTAAAGTAATCATTTATATTAATAGAATTATATTTTGATAATAATACTGAACTCTTAAATCTTAAACTATTTAAAGTACTTTCGTGCACTATCTTTTTATACTTTGAATGCGTTAGGAAAGCGGGCTCACCAAGTCAAGTATGCGCATGCTGCACGCAGTTACTACCAACCTTCTTTAGCATAAATCCTAATGGAAATGCCACAGATATGGGAATGTACCTTTTAAAGTCCAAGATGAGAGGCTCATGGTTGGAAGAATTTTGCCCTCCGTACAAGATTATATAGTCATATATATTATATCGCAAGCGTAAATTTAATGTAATTTTTATTATAAGTTTTCTTTTTATAAATTGTTATATGTTTTATAATTAAATGATTCTCGACTTGCATTTTATGTTAATTTATTAATCTGAGTTAAGTACAAGTCAATATATGTTCATATATAACTCTCAATCATTTGATATTAAACGCTCACACCCCTGATATTTCTGATGCTCGAATATGGGATCTTAAGAAATAACAACAGTTCCTTTACTACCGAGATCACTTGGTTCGTGATGTTATATTTATGGATATTTGATATATTAAAATTTTTAAAAAAATTCTATTGGTTTCTTTCTTCTTTTGAGAATGGCAACGCCAATTGTGTTCTATATTTTTTCCGAGTTTATGAATATTGATATGGATGGCAATGAGTCTCGTTAGTATCAGGTTTTTGGTTAATTCGGATCGATCCAAAATATATATCATCCACTTGAATTTGATTCGACCCGATAATTATATATATCTTTCAGCTGATTCGGCCGGTCCCAAAAAATATATATCCTCTACCCAACTCCAATCCTGACCCGACTTGGTAAAAAATAAAGATTTAATTAAAAATAATAAATTCTTAAAGAAAATTCATTATTATCCTCGTGTCGGGTCTGAGTTTTTTCACTCTCTGCTTGAACCTGATCCGACTCAACCTCACCCCTTAAATCCAACTCGACCTAAACCCAATTTTTTAAAAAAAAAATCTGACACTATCAGATTTGATCAAGTCAGAACCCATCAATTTCAGGTTAAATTACCATCCCTAATCATGAAATATTATGTTAATAATTGGGATAACATTCATATCATAATTACACAAAATAAATTTACTTTTAAGATAATGATTTTTCCACGACACAATAATATTTTTTATGGGTAAAGTATAGTAATGGTCACTAGACTTTTTTGAAGTTTGTATTTAGGTCCCCCAACTTTTAAAACTTGCAATACAATCCTCCAACATTTAGTCCGTTTGTAATATGGTCCCTGACGTAACCGGCCGTTTGATGTCGTTAGAAGAAGATGACGTGGTAGTCCCCTAACATTTAGTTCGTTTGCAATATGGTCACTGAACTTTTCAGGCGCTTGCATTTAGGTTCCCCAACTTTTAAAACTTGCAACACAATCCTCAATTTCATTCTAAACTCCAAATTCCAAAATAATTCAATTATATTTTAAACCCTAAATTTTAAAATACTTCAATTTAGGGTTTTGAATATAATTAAAGTATTTTGGAATTTGGGGTTTAGAATGTAATTGAAGTGTTTTGGAATTTTGAACATGAATATGTTATTTGATAGTGTTTACTTTAATATAAATTTGAGGTTTGTTGTATGCACATCCAACGGCTGTCGTACTTTGAACATGAAAAGTGCACCTATCACATTTATTGCATAAACCGTTGAAGTTAAAGTAACAAGGCAAATTTTTCTTGTTCGTAGCTGCTGCACTTTGGTATGACAATCCAATAGGTTTGGATGGAACTTGAGCATGCACATCCAACGACTGCGAAAATAGTAAAGAATTTTAGTTCATAGGACTACAACATACAACCAAGCAATAACTAAAATAAACCAAGAATATCAATTAATAACTCATTCAAAACGAGGACTTAATAAATAAAGGGAAAGAGGTTTGGTCATAGTCACTCTAAAAGCTAAGGCTTCAAATGGGTTGTTTAAGATAGACATTAGATGCCAAATACAACATT